AAATTAATATAAGTATCACACCTACTCTGCTGATCAGCCTCTTTTATATGTTTTCTTGCACATTACAACTACTGGATCCACAGAGGCGTAAGGAGGTGCAGCTGCACCTCCCCTCTCCGGAAAAAGCTTTGAAGTTGCCGGAGTTTGCCCCTCAGCTCTACCTTGGAGGTGCCCACCACCTGTTCGAATAAATGCCTCAGCAACCCAGCAACCTCCTTTTCTTTGTTGCGATGCTGCGCTGGGAGCAGCTTTTGTTTTGTTTTTTAATTCCTGGCCAAACGAAGTCGTTTTGGCCACGCCAAAAAAATAAAAAATTTAAGAGCAAACCTGAAGCCTTATTTCCACTGAACGGAAGAGTGTGTTCTTGTGGTCCAAGTTGGAATTAAATGGACCAAGGGATACTTGCGTTGAATGATTTTTCAAAAGCTTTGCATGCTCTTGAGTGTCTTGCTGCAGATCCATCCCTCTCCTCCCAAGTTTGAATGTTTTTTTTTTCATTTTTTCTCTTCTGGTTTTTTTTAACTTCTGTTTTTTTTAATATTTTATAATGTGTATTTTAATATTTGTTGTTTATTTTAGAGAGATTATTTTTGTTTTCTGATTTGGTTATGTTTGTATAACCATAAACCCTAAATCCTCTTTCGAATAATTCGGGAATTTTTTTTGGCTTTTAGCCTTTTAAATGTTGCCCCTTCCTAAGAAAATTCCTGGATCCGCCGCTGGAGGGGAACACATAGTTACAATAAGTTTTTGAACTCATAACCACTTGAGAACACACCAAAGATCTAAATCAATTCAACTAACGACCCATTAGTCAAAGTAATTTGCTTTTACCACATGTTAATTATTATGATGCTCTCTCTAACTTTTTATAGTTTTCAAGGCTGGCAGAATTAGGTTCAAACCACCACTCTTGGAACCCAATATGTAAAGACACCTAGACCTAGCTGCCATTTTAGAGTTTTAGGAACTTGAATGAAGTTATGGCAAAAAAGACTGGTTAGCAAATACACTTCATTTGCTATGACCTAGCTCACAGCAAAGTATTAAAAAGAGTTTCCAAATATAGTAGCATGCTTAATGTTGGTGGAGCCAACATGCCCTTTTAATAATGTTCTTGTTTTGGACGTAAACCTTTCAATACAATCTAATACATTTCTATCGTTTGGCAACCAAAAAAAAAAAAAAACACAACAAAAAAACAACCAAAAAACAAAAAAACCACCAAAATAAGAGAGAAGAAAAAGGTAAAATCTACAAGCTAGTTCCAACAACTATGATAAATGAAGGCAATACGTTTAAATTATAAAAGTTTAATTATTGAAGTAATTATAAAGTTTTGATTGATATTTGAACCTGGTTCTACTACTATAATATTCCTTTGCATAATTTGTTAAAGATAAAATAAATTAAAAGACTTCTTTTTCTCAACTTTGAGCTATTTCAATTTCAACATATTTTTTCTTATAATCTTTTTCTTTAATAAAATAGAATGATAACCACTATATATGACACTCACCTTCACCAGATAAAAGCATAGTGTTTACAGACTGAGAATACATAAATTTGATGTGTTACATTTTCCACACTCAAACAAATTAAGAATATATAAAGTAAAATCAAAACGAATGGAGCCAAATGGTAAAGTAGATAGGAAGCACCCAAATTTAATTGCCAGAAATATATGGAAGGTTCAATAATTTCTAATGGTTGCTATTTTTTTTTCTTTAGAAAATAAGTGATAGTATATTATTAATGAACAAGCAAAGGTACAAAGCAACTATGTGCCGAATATAGGCAAATTTTCTCCAGTGACCAAATAGTTGGGCAAAGGACAAAGACATTTACTTAAATGCTAAAAATAGAAATAAGGTCATCTGCACACTTGGAGTGCACCACCACTATCTAAGAAAATGGGCAATTTGAAGCACCTATAATAGTTTTTCCAACGATGGGGGGTGCAACTGCACCTCCTTGCGCCTTTATAGGTCCGCCACTGATCCCAAAATATGACATATATATATGAAAATTTGTTAAACACAATAAGGTGGACAAGAAGATGCACCCTTGGTATTTTCCTTTATTTTTTTTATTCAACAACTGCTAAGTGCAAATCCATAACTTATGTAATGCTATTAACAAAGTTAACCAAGTTTCTAGTGGATGAACTAGACTTATTCCAAGCAGCCAAAGCCATCTCTCCAATTTTCCTGCTCATTTCTCTAAGCTCTTCCCTATTTTCCTACTCCATCAACTTCTTAACGCTTCTCTCTAATTCATCCCCAAACACAAACCCATCTTCCTCTCTCTACTTCACAGCAATCGCCATTTCCATGTCCTTCACCAAAATACTCCTATTCAAATGCTGCTATGCATAGAGCGACCATGCCAGCATCAGCACGCCAGCAATCACAGCTTCAAGCATCGAGTTCTGCCCACCGATACCTTCTTCAACACTGCCACTTGCGACACCCATGACTTTACCACCAAGCCCCTATCTTAGGTCCTCTCCAAGAACCCTTATGGCAACAAACCCTCCAACTCAAAGTCATGTACTCCTTGGACGTGCTTGGTTTTCTCATCAAGGGGAGGCTTCTTCACCACCCACAAAAACCTATGTCCACTCTTCTCCACCCATATGCTATCTCCTTCAATTAAGACCCTGAGAATGATCCTCTACTTCCAAAACAGAGAAACACCACACTTCTACTTGGCTGCTGATCAAGCCATGATAAACAATCTTTTGCCTCTGTAGAATCCCCAACTTTTTCTTCAGCAATCAACGGCCCGATGTAGTAGATAGGAGGAGTGGGAGCATCAGGAACACAAAGGCCTCCAGCAATGGCTTTGAGGACTGCAGAAGGCTCAAGCTCTTCAAACGTGTTGTCTATGATCCCATTAGATTTAGGAAGGTAGGAGCAGAAGTAGACCATGTCCCAATACGCAGGGTAGTCTCGATCAAGCATTGGCTTAGGCATGTGGGGGGCATTCAAGGGAGACTTCAACCCGGGAAACTCCAAAACAATCTCGGTCAAATCATTGAAGCTCTTAGTGGTTTGTTCCCCGATTTTCGGAAAATACAGAAAAACCGCAAGAGCTGCTGCTCCAGAGGTGTAAAAATAGAAGGTGGGAATGTCGAGCTCCTTCGCCATTGGCAGAGCAAATGAGCAGAAGATGTCGATGATAAAAGTGTGAATGGCTGAAGATTTAGAAATTTCTTTGAGGGCAAGGTAGACATGAGGATCATTTCAGCGAATGAAATCGAACATTATGGCAGCGCCGCTGCGGCCAATTATTGTGTTTTCATTTTGAACACCAAGGAATTGGCAGACGGAGATGGAAGGATATGGGCTAGGGAGATTCGCTGGATGTAGGTGGGGATGCTTGAAATTGATTGTCACGTTGTAAGAGAGAAACTGCAAGTTGGTGTAATTTCTCATTCCTATATTTTCTTCACAAGATGAGCTGGCAGATATATTTACGCAGGCTTTAGGAGGCGATGCCTTCAATTACTTAAGTCGCAAGTTGGGACTTCATAACATTCAATCTCCAACTTGAGGGGGAGTGTTGGAAATCAAATCTTATAATTGAAGGATTATAAATATTGTAATTGTCTTTTCTGTATTAGACCCCAAGAATTATGGGTCAAACCTGAATTGTAGCCTTAATTAGGAATTAGGCTAGAATAGGAGATTGTAAACATAATATATAAAGGATAGTATTATGTACAACAAGATATCAATAACACAACATATTATTCCATCTCCTTTATTCTTTTCAAACATTTAACTCCTTATATGAATGAGTCATTTCTTCTTAAGTTATGTCAAAATTTCACATTTTTATTGAATTATATTTTCATATTAAGGGATTCGAACTCAAGTGCAGAGTGAAGAACAGATTCGCTCAATTCAACTTAACTAAGTTCATATCTGCGTGAATTTATTTATTCTAAATGGTGAAAAAACATGAAGTGGGACGACACATCATATTGCGTACACACAACTCTCACAATACCACTCATGAAAAATATTGATAATTGGTTGTGTAATTCAATAAAGGGACAACAAAACTACCTTAACTTTCGAAAGATCAGCAAATTGTGGGGCATTGAACTGAGTTCTTTTGGGATAGTTGGGCGCATAAGATAATTGTTTAGGTAGTCATTGTTGCCCATTCCAACAAAGAAGATGCAGTTTTGTTAAACGTAATACATTTGTATCAGTTGTTAAAGTAGAGAGTTGTGTCTCTTGATGAAAAGATTATGTTTAGGAAGAGCTGTATCTCTTTAGAAGTCAAGAGTTGTGTCTGGAACTCTTGGAACTAATCCAAGAGTTATGTCTGTTTATCAAAAGGTCTGACTGTTATTATAAATAGCCATGTTATAGGCTGCTGTAATATATATATCAGAGAAGTTAACAAAAATCAGTTTTGAATAATTTTCTGGTTTACAAACACTCTCTGCCTCAGTTTATATTTCCATCATTTACTTCAGTTTTGTGATCATTCCCCTAACAA